AAAAAAAAAAAAGAAAATATGATTTGAACTACTTGAAATTTGGATTTGTTTAAGAACCTGGTAGTGAGTTGGATGCACGGCCACTTTGTGTTGTGTGTTCTGAGAGTTTATCCAATGATGCCATGAAACCTTCAAAACTCGAAAGACATTTGCAATCAAAACACCCAGATTTAGCTATAAAACCACTTGAATATTTTTCAAAGAATGCGTGAAAATATGCAAAAGCAAGTAATTGCTCTAACAAAAATGACTATTGGAGATAAATCCTTATTAAAGGCTTCTTATCTGATAGCATTTTAGATCACGAAAAATAAAAAGCCGTATACGATTGGAGAAGAATTAATTAGGCCTTGCATGTTACAAGCCTGTGAAGAGGTTTTGGGAAAGCAGGCTGTCCAGAAATTGAAAGCAATTACTATGTCCGCTAACACTGTCAAACGCAGAATTGAAGACATGGCTGAAGATACTGAAAATCAAGTTATAAAAATGGTGAAAAATTCACCATTTTATTCAATTCAATTTGACAAATCAACAGACGTAAGTAACAAGGCACTTCTCCTTTGTTTTGTGAGGGTTGAGTGTGAAGGAGAGTTACAGGAAGAACTACTTTGTTTGCTCAACTTGCTGGGTGCAACAACTACCTCTGAGATTTTTGAAGCACTTAATAGTTATTTCCTGGAACACGGAATTGAATGGGAAAAATGTATTGGGATACGTACAGACGGTGCCGTAAACATGACTGGGCATCTTTCAGGAATTTTTGCAAAGGTGAAAAATGTTGGTCACCCAGACATTTTGTCTACACACTTTACATTGTGAGCAACTTGCGGTGAAAAAAATCTCCCCAAAACTACACGAGGTATTATCAGATGTTATTAAAATTATAAATGAAATTCGACACAAAGCGCTCAATTCTCGAATATTTGAGGTACTTTGCGAAGAAATGGGTTCCCAGTATACTCACCTTCTTCACGCTGAGGCGAGATGGCTGTCGAGGGGCAAGATACTAACCCAACTGTTAGCCCTACGCGAAGAAGTCAAAATATTTTTTCCAGTGGCAACATAATCTGAAATTACAAGAACTCTTCTCCGATGATAAGTGGGTAGCCAAGCTTGCATACCTGGCAGATATTTTTTCACTATTAAGTGAACTAAATGAACTTGCAAGGACAACTTAAGGATGTGTTCACACTGCGAGGTAAAATGGATGCTTTTCGAAAGAAAATATTACTGTGGCAATCATGATTGACTGAAGAAGATCTGCAAATGTTTTCAAACTTTGATGACTATATGAGAGAGAAGGATGTCAACCGGCAGGTGGTAACCATTGTTCAACAGCACTTACAATCATGCACAGAATCTTTGGTCATTATTACCCAAAGAAAGAAGATCCCAAACATGGCAATATGTGGATAATAGATCCATCTGCAGCAAACATTGAAGACAGCAATTTAAGCATGAATGAAAAAGAAAGCCTCATCGGTCTATCATCTGACTATAGTTCAAAGCTAAATTCCAGTCATCCTTATCAAGACCTCATTTTTTATCTCCATTAAAAGTGAATACCCCTTGGGGAGTGAAAAAGTAATGAAAATTTTGATTCAGTTTTCAATAACATATTTGTGCGAAAAAACATTTTCATCTGTCACAGCAATTAAAACTTGGTACCGGTCTCGGCTTGAAATAAATATGGCTCTCCATCTTGCAGTAATGGCATTGGAGCCAAAAATCCATAAACTTATTTCAAGCAAACAGGAGTAAATATCACACTCTAAAATTGTGTAATCCTATATAATAAAGCCTAATATGCAAATTGACCGAATGGTGGAACAACCCGTCACTATGACGCGCACTGACCACCAGGGGGCAGACACTCAATGCAGGCGCTGCCCCCCAGTCCGCAGGCCCCAAGCCAGCCAAGGCAGGTGCCAGCGGGGGAATCCCCCGATTGCCCCATTTGTCACCCCACAGATCGGCCAGGCCTAGGGACCCTACTCATGCATGAATTTCGTGCATCAGGCCTCTAGTACTTAAATAAGCTTCAATTATTTCGTAAAAATTAAACTTACTTTAATAAATTTGTTACAATTAAACAACCTTTGAAGATTTTGTTATGATTAAATAAGTATTTAAAATGTTATATTAAATAGGTGCATTTCATATTAATAAAATGGAAGTGCTCTGATCATTATTTTACAAATGTATTTATCTTTTTTAAAAAAAAACATTAGTGGTCCCGGGATTTAAAATTAGGAATTTAGTGGGCCGTGAGCTCCGAAAGGTTGGCGACTGCTGAACTGTATCATAAAGGTTGAGATATAAAGCTAAAGCTACGTAGGTAACTCATTTTAATATTGTTTGCTCTTGTCCTCTTTAAAGTGTTATTTACTGTGTATTCTTTTCTTAAGATATCTAAGAGACAATTGAAATGCTCTATTTCAAAACTTTTGTATTCCAATGAACAATGCTTCTGCATTTTCATGTTAGGTAGCTACCTACCAACATACTTGATTTGGTCTCTTAAAGCTCTTTAGCCCACACTATGGGATTCCATTTTGCTATTAAGCCTTTTCATTCCAACTACTATGAAAGGAGAAGGTATTAGTAAACATGTACACTTCAAAGTCATCACTAACAGTAGCGATTATTTTATTTTTATTGTTAAGGGGTCTGAATCAACAATTTATCTCATCATAGATAATGCACTGTTAAACTCTATAAAACATAAATATCAAATGTACTTTATTATAAGAGGTATAGGCTCTTGGAGGGGAAGACCCTCATTCACGTAAGACCAAGGTTGGGCTAAGCTCTGAGGTATAAAACAGCTAGTAATGAAGAAGAGAGTGGTTTATGTTTTGTTAGCCTACATTGCTTCCATTGGAGAAATCCTCAAGTGCCCTCTCACCCTAGTAGCCCTAAAACTGCTGATTTAAGAGATGTGGAAATATCAGTATTAAAGCTGTAGTAGAGTTTTTGAGGTGGAATGGCCTTATTGCCTTTATTTTAAAGATAGGGAAAACTGGGACCTATTCTATCAATCCAGGTTTCTTCCACTATATCACGTTGTTAGATTTACCTTAAGAACATACATACTGTCCAACAGGCTCTAGAATCTTTTCTAAGTTTATCTAATTTGGTGACTAATGGTTTATATTCTGCTTCCTGTTTCTTCAATCAATTCTTTTGAAAAATGAAAGAATGAAAAGGTATGAATACTAACACCCACCCCTTCCCCATCCTATCATCCTTCACTAGAGCTTTCTGAGGAAATAAACTGAAAAGGGAGGCTGTTTGCCGTAGAACTCCAAAAAGAAGATCCTTCCCAAAAGTGTTTGGTCACAGTTCTTAATACAGGTAGCAGAATATGATTGGGGAAGGCATGGTGCTTGATATCAACTCTGATAACAAATTTATCATTGTCATTTTCCTCCTTAGTATCATCTAGACTGTCACAGCCATCCTCTCCCCAGTCAGGTTGCCCATCACCCACAATTCCAGCAGGTAAAGTCATATCTCCATCACAGAAGCACAGCAAGAAGGCACTAAAGCAGGTAATTATGCTAGTCTCTGTTTATCAGAAGTATAATCTCCTACATTAAAAATGCATGACTCTGGCAGCCATTAAAAATTTCTTGAAAGGGTATTATGTTCTTTTAAGGAGAAGTTTCATGCAGTTTCCCAATTAGGATTTAATAATGTATGTATCTCTGTGTCATTGGTTTGTGGTATATACTCTTTTTATCACATTTCATGTGTTCCTAATTTGCTAACAGGTTTTTCTTTGTGTATGTGTTCATTTTGAAAATTATGAATAGTTGTTGAATTTTTCAGGTTTTCTTCAGCATTTATCGAGATAATCAGGTAGCCTTTTTCTTTAAATCTAGTAACATACAAAATTCCACAACTAGACTTATTTTTTATTGATTTCAGAGAGGAAGGGAGGAGAGAGAGATAGAAACATCAGTGATGAGAATCATTGATCAGCTGTCTCCTGCACGCCCCCTACTGGGGATCAAGCCGGCAACCCTGTCATGTGCCCTTACTGGGAATCCAACTGTGACCTCCTGGTTCATAGGTCGATGTTCAACAACTGAGCAACACCAGCCAAGCTAGGTTTTTTAATGCTAATCCATACTTAGCTCTCTAAAATAAACTGTATGTTTTTTATATATTTTTAAATATGTTATGGAATTTTCTTTTTTAAGATATTAGCTTGGGGGAAAAAAGAGTTTAGCTTGGATTTTGTTGGGAGTTTTTTTTTCTTTGTGCTATCCAGAAACAATTTTGGAATCAAGATTCTTCTAACATCCTAAACTAAATTGTGTAGTCCCCCCAAAATGTATACACACTTCAACAGCTGATAGCTCCATTGATGTTTCTTTCTTTTCAGATTTAAATTATTGGAATTAATAATTATTCAAAGTGTGTATACATTTTTTGGAACACCCTGTATTTTTCTAGGTTTCTGGGGAAATTTTGAGTAATTTATCTTTTTATTGAAAATTCTGTAAATCTCACTTTTTAAAATTGTTTTCCTAGCATTTCAGTTTTAATTTATTTTCTTTTACTAGTCTCTTGGTTTTCTGCTTGTGGAGCTAAATTTGGAAATTTATTTTTCTTAGAAAGTGATCCATTTCACCTGATTTTTTTCAAATATTGGTATAAAGTTGTACATAGTATTCTTATATGTCTCTTTTTTTGTTCTTCAGTGTTGTTCATTTATAATGTACTAGAGACCTGGGGCATGACATTCGTGCACTGCCGGGGGGGGGCTGGGGGGGGTGTCCCTCTGCTTGGCCTGCACCCTCTCACAATCTGGGACCCCTCGTTCCTTACTGCTCAGCTTGCTATTCCTTAGTGCTGCTGCAAAGGTGGGAGAGGCTCCCGCCACCACCACTGCACTCGCCAGCTATGAGCCCAGCTTCTGGCTGAGCGACGCTCCCCCTGTGGGAGCAGCACACTGACTAGGGCAAGCTCCTGCATTGAGCATCTGCCCCCGGTGGTCAGTGCATATCTTAGTGACCGGTCATACCACTGTTCGGTCGATTTGCATTTTAGGGTTTTATTATATAGGATTTTTTTTTTGCCTCCTCAATGCTGCTAGCCAATGGTTTGTCTATTTTATTGGGCTTTTCTAAGAACTAGCTTTTGATTTTTTGAAATGCAAATGGTCAGTAAATAGAAAGTCACTAGTAGTTAAGAAAACATAAAAATAGTGGACTACTTTAATTCTCAGATCAGTATAAAAATCTTAATTATATCAAGCATTGGCAAGTGTGTGGGAAAATGGCTACTGTAGTTTGTCAGTAGAATATAAATTATTGTAGTTACTTAGGAGACAGATTTTGTAACATTTATTAAAACTTAATTTTTTATTTATTTTATTTTTTAAATATGTTTTTATTGATTTTAGAGAGTAAGGGAGAGGAAGAGAAAGAGAGAGAATCATGGATGAGACAGAGAAACATTGATCAGCTGCCTCCTGCATACCCCTACCAGGGATCATGCCCGCAACCTGGGAATGTGCCCTGATCTGGATTTGAACTGGCAATCCCTCGGTGCATAGGAAGATGCTCAACCAACTGAGCCACACCAGCCAGGGTGTATTTATTAAAATTTTAAGTATATACCCCATAACTAAACAGTTGAACATTTTAGAACTAATATTAAGAAAAATACGTACACACACACACATATATATATACACAAACACACAGAATAATATTTGCATTAAAGTTGCATGCTCTTTTCCACTTAATAAGTCATTTACTTTTTCTTATTACTGAAACGATTGTCTTGTTTCTCACAGTCAGTTTTCTCTTTCTAGGCTTTGAAGCAGCAGCAGCAGCGGAAGCAGCAGCAGCAATGCCGGCCAAGTATGGCCCTCTCCTCCAGTCAGCATCTCTCTCTGAAGGCTGTCAAAGCTGCCAGTGACTCTGTGACTGCCAAATCTGGTAGGTAGATGGGAGTGTCTTTTCAATGGAAGTTTCTTTATTTTTATTATTTTATTTCTTAATTGAATTTATTGGGTTGACATTGGTTAGTAAAATTATATGGGTTTCAGGGGAACAGTTCTATAATACATCATCTGTATACTGTATTGTGTGTTCACAACCACAAGTAAAGTCTCCTTCCACACCATTTATCCTCCCCATTACACTCTCTTGCGTCTCCCTATCCCCTTCCCCTCTGATAATCACCGTACTATTGTCTGTCTCTGAGGGGGGTTTTGTTTCTCTGTTCTGTTGTTTTTGCTTAATCTTTTCATCAATGGATGTTTCTTTTTCTGATAGTTCCATGTTGGTTTTCCAATTTGTATACTGTAGCATTTATTTTTAAATTATTGTGTTTATTTACATAATTCTTGTACTGCCAAATCATTGACTTACTAGTAATCTTTCCAAGGTAAACAGAAAATTAATGCAAATATTCATGCAGTTATTAAAAAATACATAAGTGGGATTTGTATGTTAGAGTGTGATCTATGAGTAATGTAACTTCCAAGATATCTTAGTAATATTTGGAAGCTGCTAATCAGTAACCTTAGAAAGCTGATGTTTCCAAAAGATGCTCAAACTGAACTCTTCACAAATTACCTCCTTTAAAAAGAAAAGGTTTTGCCCAGCTGGTGTGGCTCAGTAGTTTAGCGTCAACCTATGAACCAGAAGGTCACGGGTTCAATTCCCAGTCAGGGCACATGACTGGGTTGCGGGCTCAATCCCCAGTGTGGAACTTGCAGGAGGCAGCCGATCAGTGATTCTCTCTTGTCATTGATGTTTCTATCTCTCTCTACCTTCCTCTCTGAAATCAATAAAAATATATTTAATAAAAAAAAATCAAAAGAAACTAAAAATATATGCAGCCTTTGAATTTCCATTGGACAGGCCTGAAGGCCTTTAGATTTGTTGTTGTTGTTGTCGCTTACTTTGTTTTTAATCTAAACTGGTCTGGATATAGATTTTGTGTTTTATTATGCAATTCATTTTGATGCCAGTTAATTATATGTGCCTGCCAGATTTAAACTGTGTCTTGCAGAACTTTGCATTTATGTTAGGAAGGAAATTTACCACCAAAAGCCAATAATGTGCTGAGAGGAAATAAGGGATTTTACCTTTTTAAAAAATATATTTTTTTATTGATTTTTTAAAGAGAGGGAGAGGGATAGAGAGATAGAAACACCAATGAGAGAAGAACATCATCGATCGGCTGCCTCCTGCATGTTCCCCACTGGGGATGGAGCCCGCAACCCTTGCATGTGCCCTGACCGGGAATCGAACCAGCAACCTCTTGGTTCCTGGGTTGACGCTTAACTGCTAAACCACACCAACAGGACAGGATTTTACTTTTTTTCTAGGCTTAATTCTCAGACTCAGAACATATTTGCAAGGTCACCTTACCTCATATATAACTACTTTTAGTTAGTATTGAATGGTTTGTTTGATTAATTGACTTCTATCTATAACCTTAATGTCACCAGTCTTTTGTATATTTTTCCCTAGCAGTATGGGAAGGAAAGCAATCAGATGGACAGTCAAGCAGCTCCCAGAACTCAAACTCTAGCTTTTCTTCTTCAGTTAAAGTGGAAAACCCTTTGTTAGGCTTGGGGAAGAAGTCATTCCAAAGGTCTGACAGACTCCACACAAGTAAGTTAATTTACAAAGACTTCATGTTTTTATCAACTTATTTTATCAACCCAGTGTCTGAAATTCATCAGCTACCTAGCTTAATTTTACTTCCTGTTCACCTATGAGGTCTTGACCATTTTCATGTCCCTCCTGTCCTTACCAAACTTTATTCAGAATAAGATCTGTTATCAGGCCATTTTTGTGGTTTATTTCTTTTTCTGATCATAAGTTGCTTTGTCTGGCATTATTTACATTTTATTTCTAACCGTACAGAAAAGGCTTATAATTAAACATGGTAAACTGAACATTTTTTTCCTGCTCCCTCTGAATCCCACAAAAATGAGAATATGGAAATACAAAAGGGTGAAGAAAACAAGGAGATAGCCGATGGGTAGGCAATGTCAACAACTTTGAAAGATGAAAACTGGATGGGTATTTCACAGAGCTGAGTAGCAGATGCCAGTAATAAGCAAGCCAGCTAAGGCTGTAGAATACCAGAAAGGTTCCAGAATTGGAGATATAAAGGATCAGGATAGAGAGGATGAGGCATAGATTTGAAAAGAAGAACCTTCTTTAAGGCCCTGGCTGGGTAGCTTAGTTGGTTAAGAGCATCATCCCAGTACGCCAAGGCTGTGGGTTTGATCTCCAGTCATATAAAGCAACCAATAAATGCATAAATAAGTGAAATAACAAGTCAATGTTTTTTTCTCTCTTTCTTCCTCTCTTTCTAAAAATCAATTAAAAATAAAAAGTTAGTAAGAAGCAGTTTGATGCCTCACCCCCTAGTAGGAGATAGATTTATTTTGAAGTGAACTTAAGCCATATAGATTTCCAATTCAGAGATACTACACATAGCAGAGGGCAGACAATGAGGCAATGTACTGGAGTTCGGGAAATTAAATAAAATACGAATACTGAATAGTGATCCTCTTGTTTGGCTTCCAGAATGCTAGTAGTGAGGCATATTTCTACTACCACTAGTTCCTTACTAACTATGCTCCAGCAGGAGATTGGTGGATTGGTAACTAAAGAAATGGAATAACCTCAGAAAAAAATCTGCAAGCACATTTATAGACTCGCTACTAAACAGAAATCATCTTGGTGTTCTCCCGTCTACAAAACCCACCCAAAATTTTCAGTCAGCCTTTTTAAGTGCCTGTCTTTTAATTATGCCTACTAAGGATCACCTTTGAAGAAAATCCCGTTGTGAGGACAGAATATGAAATATAGACTCAGAAGAAACAGGCGATTGAAGAAGAAAAAAATTTAAAACAATAACCTTTTAAAAAATATTTTTTTACTCATTTCTGAGAGAAAGGGAGAGCGAGAGAGAGATAGAAACATCAGTGATGAGAGAGAATCATTGATTGGCTGCCTTCTGCACAACCCACATAGAGGATCGAGCCCCCAACCGGTGCATTTGCCCTAACTGGGAATCCAACTGTGACCTCCTGGTTTATAGGTTGATGTTCAACCACTGAGCCATGCTGGCTGGGCCAAATAACTTTTATTTAAAAAAATTTTTAATTGGATTTATTGGGGTGACACATTGGTTAATAAAATTATATAGGTTTCAGGTATATAATTCTATATTTTAAAACTGCAATATCTATAGAAAGAACTAAAAGATGATATTGTACCCATGAAAGAATAAAATACTATATTAAATATCAGAAAATAGAGTTCTAGGATATTAAATAATGTGGTAGCAGAAATAAAAAACTATGATAGAAATACAAAACGTTAAAGGTGAAGAAATTTCTCAGAGCATAGGTAGGTCTAAGGCGAGTTTCATATGAGGAGGTAAGAAAATTAGAATGCTAATCTGTGCTGTCCAGTGTCTTAAATAATAGGACTATCAGAAATAAAAAATAAATTGAAAGAAAGGTAAATAATCCTATATAATAAAACCCTAATATGCAAATCGATTAAACAGTGGAATGACTGGTCGCTATGAACTGACCACCAGGGGGCAGACGCTCAATGCAGGAGCTGCCCCCTGGTGGTCAGTGCGCTCCCACAGGGGAGCGCCACTCAGCCAGCCGGGCTCACGGCTGGCAAGTGCAACTGGCAAGTGCAGCAGCGGCGGTGGCAGAAGCCTCTGTGACAGCACTAAGGAGCAATGACCCGAGCAGTAGGGAGCAGCAAGTAGGTGGGCGGTAAGGAGCGAGGGGTCTGGACTGCGAGAGGGATGCCCGCTTGCTGGCTTAGGCCTGCTTCCCACAGGGAGCGGGCCTAAGCCAGCAGGCGGACATCCCCTGAGGGATCCCAGACTGCAGAAGGGCACAGGCTGGGCTGAGAAATCCCCCAACCCCCAGTGCACAAATTTCATGTACCAGGCCTCTAGTAAGAGATAAAATACAAGAAAATTCGATAGACTTGAAAGCCACAGATTTCAGACTGGAAGTACATAATTGGTGTCAAGAAATATGAATAAAAGGAAACCTATTCCAAGTCACATTCTTTTGAAATTTCAAAACATCCAGGACATGAGATGATTTGCAAAAAACCTCCAGAGAGAAAAAAATAATTCATTTATAAAAATTCAAGAATTGGCCCTGACCAGTTTGGCTCAGTGGATAGAGCGTCGGCCTGCGGACTGAAGGGTCCCGGGTTCGATTCCGGTCAAGGGCATGTTCCTGGGTTGTGGGCACATCCCCAGTAGGGGGCGTGCAGAAGGCAGCTGATCGATGTTTCTCTCTCATTGATGTTTCTAGCTCTCTATCCCTCTCCCTTCCTCTCTGTAGAAGAATCAATAAAATATATTTTAAAAAAAAATTCAAGAATTGGAATGGCAGACATCTCTGAAGCAACATAAAAGCTAAAAGATTGTATAGAAATGCTGACAAAATTATAAAGAAAAGCTATTCCACACTCATTTATATATTCCAGACCTTTCCAAACTATTACGTTTGAGAATAGAATTTCAGACAACTTTTTTTTTTCCAGACAACTTCTTTATAAAAATATGATTTGATTCCAGGTATGGTAATGAATTGGTGTATTTTTCTTAGAGATAGTATCTGCCATAAACTGAATATGCCCTTTGATCATTAATTCCACTGCCAGAGATTAAAAATACTCATTTATTACACAAATACTTGCAGAAGTTATACTAATATGCCAAGCACAGGTTTAGGGCCCTAGAGACGTGACAATGAATAGAACAAAATTTCTTCCTTTGGGGGCCTATCTTCAATTAAAGTCACAATTGTAGTGCCTGGTGCGTAGGAGGCCCTAAATAAGTGTTTACTGTTGCTGTTATTTATCATTATTTTTGTTATTACTACTAATATTACTTTAAATTTACTGAGATGTGCCCTGGCCGTTGTGGCTCAGTTGGTTGGAGCATTGACTCATATACTGAAAGGTTGTGGATTCCCTTCTGAGTCAGGGCATATACCTAGGTTTTGGGTTCATATATGGAAGGCAGCCAATCGATATTCTGTCTCATATTCGTATTTCTCTCTTTTTCTCTCCCATCCCCCTCTAAAATTAATAAGCATATCCTTGGGTGAGGATTAAAGAAAAATTATTCAGACCGTTTTTGGAATAAATACTATAAGTATAGAATTCTGTGTTTATTGGATCAAGCCTGTCAATCTGAAAAATAGCTCAGCTTCCCCCTCCCCCCATCTTGTCTTTTTGGGACTCCTTTTAGTATGCTTGATTTATTAATAATTGAGAGAGATGTGTTGAAATCTTACTGGTGGCTTTGTCTAGTTCTCCCTGTTGTTCTATCATATTTTATGTCACATATTTTAAAATATATTAGATATTTTCATGTTTAAAATCCTCCTGATGGATTGAACCCTTTATCATTATCACTGTTTATTTACTTTATCAGTCGCTGATTAGGTTTTTTACTTAATGTATCATAAAAGGTACACCAGCTTTCCTTTGATTAGTTTTTTTCCCTGATATATCTTTACTTTGTTCATTTCTGTGTGTCTTTGTGTTTTAGGTATGTCTCTTTGCAGAGCATATAGCTAGCTGAATTTTTAAAATTTGTAAATCAATATGACAATCTCATTTATTCAGTGAGATTTATCCATTTACACTTATTGTAATTGCTAATCTATTTGGACTAGTTTCTGCAGTCTTGTTTATTTGTTGATTTTTGTCTTCTGTTTTTCTTTTTCAAAAAATATTTTTATTGATTTCAGAGAGGAAGGGAGAGGGGGAGAGATAGAAATATCAATGATGAGAATGATTGATTGGCTGCCTCCTGCACGCCCCCTACTGGGGATTGAGCCTGCAATCCAGGCACGTACCCTTGACCAGAATCATAAACCTGGGACCCTTTAGTCCTCAGGCTGACGCTATATCCACTGAGCCAAACCAGCTCGGGCTTGTAATGAGAACATTTAAGATCTACTCTTAAAAGTAATCATCTTGATTTTTCTCCCAAACAGAAGTGCTTTATAACAATTTAGCACTGATATTTTATATCTGGACTTAAATAATATTGTCTGACATTTCTCTTCTTAATCTCGCAAATCAGACACTAGACTACTATTTTTTTATACAACAATGTTGATGTACATTTATCTAAATGTTTACCTGTTTTCATTGTATTCCAGCCCATCTCTCTGTAATAACCATCCTTCCTATAATTTCATCAGTTTTGATAAATGTACTGTCAATTCTTTAAATATTGCTTTTTTCTCTTAATTTTCTCCTTGTCTTCAATCAAGCATTTATTAGATCTCATTCGATCATTCATTCATTCTATCATGTTTCTGCTAAAGCTCTCAAAATATTTAATCTTATCTTTCTTATATTCTGGTTAAATTGTTTGGCTATATATAGGTTATAGCCCCCCCCCCCCCACAGTGTCTAAACTGCTCTTTTATATAGTCATAGTATCTGATTTCAACAGTTTTTATTCTAATTTGTGGAAGTCCTGTTTATTTTTTCAAATCTTTGCGTTCACTACTAATTATCCTCATCTTTACAATGATATCTTTTAGATGTTAAATTGTTTTATACATAGCTATCCTGTATTCTATACACTGAGTGGCCAGATTATTATGACCACCTGACGTTTGTAGGCAAATTAGCTATAATTTCACTCTGAAGTTGCTAGAGGGCCAGACCATTATAAATATGGAAGCAGGTTGTTTACCAAGACAGTAGAAGTGATTTTTTTTTTTGAAGATATGAGTAAACAACTCGATTTAACAGCCTTTGAACTGTATAGTGGAATATACACTATATAGATTTGAATTTTTCTATTTTTTAAATCAAATTTTGTATATGTGTTATTTATTATAAACTTCCTCAATTCTATTTGGGAAATAACCAATTCTCAAACATACATAAAATGTACTTTTAGTATAGCAAAAGGTTCAATTTTATAGACCTTGTTCTATTTTTGCAGACAAGATAAATTATATTTTTTTATCCTTTATGAATGAACAAAATTTGCTTTGTTAGTCTTAGAAGCACTATTTCTAAGAACCTAAGTGTTACCTTCTTCATAGTGTGACATTTAAAATACTTACAATTATAGATGTGTTTGTTTGTTTGTTTACAGAACATGCTGTAGTTTAGATAGAAACAGGAATTTGAAGGAGGCCCAAATGATTCTTTTTCATATTTTTGTAGGGCAAATGAAAAGGACGAAATGTGCTGAGATTGATGTTGAGACACCAGACTCCATTCTGGTTAATACAAATCTTCGAGCACTGATCAACAAACACACTTTTTCAGTCCTTCCTGGAGATTGCCAACAGCGACTGCTTTTGCTTCTTCCAGAGGTGGATCGACAGGTGCGTGATTTCAAGCAGAAGCAATTTTATAACCATTCTAAAGCTTCCTTCACTCATCCCCTTTTGAAATCCTTAAATCTTTTAAAATAGCTTTTTACTTATACCTATAAAGAAGTGTTATCAAAGGTACTAAACAAAAAAAATAAGAATATTTTTAGCCACTATGAGGGCATATTGGCACCTCTGCACCTCAGTGGGTATTTGAGCAATTTTGGAAGGCAATTTTAATTTATAATCTTGACATTTTGACAAGAGTTTGTTTGTTTGTTTTTTTCTTTACAAGCTCACTCCCCAGGATGTCCAAGTAGTTACTTAAATTTTCTTCAAAAAAATGTTTTTTACTTCAAACTAACATTTAGGCTTTTAATTCATCTAGAATTATTTTTGTATTGCCCCGAAATTGGGATTCAACTTTATTTCCTACTGAATAGATAACCAGTTGTTCCAAAACTACATACTTGTATAACCGTCTTTTTCTTACAGTTTGGAATACCATTTGTGTTATATGTTCTATATATTTACATGTGGTATGTATTTCACAGGTGCAATTGAAAAGGCAATTTCCCCCCTTCTCAATTTTGTTATTTTTTTTCCATATGAATATTAAGGTCATTTTATTAATAAGAAAATCTTTATTGGGATTCTAATAGGAATGTAGATAGTAACTTTGAGGAGAATGGCAGTTTTATTAAGTTTTTCCATCCTGGTTTTTTCAGATACTGTGTTTTATGCCCTTAAATGAGATTTTGTGCTTTTAAACCAGGACAGGAAATAAGAAATCTGTAATATAAAGAAGAATCTTAAAACCTTTAGCAAGACATCATGACATCACAAATCAAGTCAATAGACAGATTGGGTGAAATATTTTTGACATGACAGTTTTACTATGAATAGTAAAGGATTCTCACAAGTTGATAATAAAAATAAGCAGCCGCATAGAAAAATGAGCAAATTATAGGAATTGGCATATTATGAGATGGCAAATAAAAATATTCAATGAAAGTACAAAAAGATGCACAACACTCTAGTAGACAGGATATAGGAAATTTTTACCATTTCAAACCCATTAGGTTGACAAAAATTAAATAGCATCTTCACATCTATTATTTACAGGTTAAAAGGTATGCTCATATATTTTTAGTAGAAATATGAATTGTTTTAACCTTTTTAGAAAATAATATGTAGTAACACATAAATATTTCTTTGCTCTCAGAACCTCTCCCACAGAAATAAAAGCACTAGTATATTCATCTTTACCAGAATGCATATTGCAGCTTTGTTGATTATGGGAAAACATGGGAAACAAAGTATATGTATATGCATAGGAAATTGGTAAATGAATTGAGGTACATTATAAATGAAATAATATGCAGGTATTACAAAGTTTCTAAAACTGTATCAGTGGACTTGTAAAGACTTCCACAATGTATTCTTGAACCAAGTGAGATTCAGAGCAGTGTATATAACTTTGTCACAGTTTTATAAAAAAAATAATAAACCTCTCAGAAGAAAAACTCCTATGTTTTCATTTGTTTGCAGATGTTTTCTTTTTAGTATAATTAATCAATGGGGAATGGAATGAAAGGAGAGGAAGAAGGGAAAAGAGGTAAAAAGGAAAGAAGTTTTTTTAGAAAACAAGATTACTTTATAACAGGGTTGTGTCCATAATAAGCAGCATAGTATGATGTAGTCATGTTTCTATAAAAGTGAATGTACATACATTCTTTTCTAAAAAGAAAAAGCCATATTCCACCTGAAACGTTTGGCTTTCTTTGTAAGCTTTCCTTGGCCTACTCTTTGACCCAGGTTGGTCCAGATGGTCTGATGAAGCTAAATGGTTCAGCCCTTAACAATGAGTTCTTCACCTCAGCAGCCCAAGGCTGGAAGGAAAGACTCTCAGAAGGTAAGTGCTCCACCTTGTCTCCTAGCATGTGTATGCACTTCGAGCCCCTGTGAGGGCATATTGGCACCTCTGCACCTCAGTGGGTATTTGAGCAATTTTGGAAGGCAAAGGACAGGGTATTTCCATAGGGTTAAACTAGCTATCTTGTGTGGAATACACTGCTAGACTTGTATCAAGAACCTACGTATCCAGGTTTGGCTCCAGATGGAGTTCAACAATATGTTTCTTTTAAGGGTTTAAAGTCACTTGGGAAACTAAAGAGTACATATGTTTAGTCCCTACTCCCAAACATTCTGATTCAGTAATTCTAGGTGAATTCCTAGGAATTAAAATTCTAATAAGCTCCCTAAAAGTAGAGTATAGAATTAGAGTTATTTTATGATGGTATGAACTATGGTTTGGTAAGCAGTGAGATAACTTCTTTATTACTGCCCAAACTCAATAACACTAACAGTGAAAAGAATCAATACGAACTTCTTAAAAAACAGCTTTATTGAAAAATGTTTACATACTGTAAAACTTACCATTAGAAGTGTACAGTTTAGTGGCAGTCAGAGCGTTTTAATAAATATAGATTATGACTTAGAATTGCTGACTGTGGTCACTGGTTTACCATGTATGCCTTCCTTTTAATTCTGATCTAACAAAGTTACTGAGAGTAAATTATAAAGTATAATCAGCGATTGATTTATTGCATTTGGACAGCACACAGTATCAGTCATATTAGCGGTTCTTAACCTTGGCTGCTTATTATCTCTCTCTCAAATCACTAAAAACATTTAAAAAAAATTGGTTGGTTGGAAAGCTAATTAAACTTTCAACTTTTTCAAATATAATTACAAAAAGGCAAAATTGTGTTTTTCACAGAGATACAGTCCACTGGAATCAACAACACTGGACAGCTGTTAGAATATTTAGAGTCCTGAGATAATAAGAAACCCCGGCATCCTTTAGGACAGTCCTCTGTTGTCCTTTCTTCCCGATCAGATCAGTGGATGTGTGGAATGACACCACCATCAGCAGTTGTAGCCTTGATGAGAGAGTCCAATTCTTCATCTCCATGAATAGCAAGTTGCAAATGATGAGGGGCAATACACTATTAAGTCTTTTGATGCGTTTCTTGCCTATTCAAGTACCTCTGCATTGAGGTACTCCAGAATGGCTGTGTTGTACACAGCAGCAGTTGCACCCACACGTCCATGACTGATCATCCTAGATTTCAGGTATCGATGAATACAGCTCACCGGAAACTGCAAGACGGCTGTCTGCAAGCTGAAAACCACCTTTGTCTTGGCCTTTCTGGAGTCTTTCCCAGTATTACTGCTAGCTATTTCAAATTCTGCTGAACTCAAACAAGCAAAGCACAGAAAGGACTAGTAAGACACCCAGTGAGATTCTACTGCCTACTCCATCGCACCTCAATTCACCTCATTTGCCCATTTTTAAAATGGGATTTTTTTGGTGTTGATTTGTATACTAGTAAGTTCTTTATAAATGTTGGATATTAACACTTTATCAGTGGGTTGTCTTTTTTGTTTTGTTGATAGTTTCCTTTGCCGTGCAAAAACTTTTTAGTATGATGTAGTCCCATTTGTTTATTTTTTCATTTGTTTCCCTTGCTCAGGGAGATATATCAGAAAAAATATTGCTAGATGAAATGTCTGAAATTTTACTGCCTATGTTTTTTTCTAGAATTTTTATAGTTTTAAGTTTTACATTTAAGTCTTTAAGCCATTTTGAGTTTATTTTTGTGTATGGTGTGAGAAGGTGGTAAGGTTTCATTATTATGCACATATCTGTCCAATTTTCCCAACACCATTTATTGAATAGACTATCTTTATGTCTCAGTGCAGGTATCATGGCAGCTGTCCCTTCAGCTCTCTCCCTAGAGCCACAAAGCTCATTCTCTCCTCATGTGACTGTAGTCTGTTCCACTTTCCCCCGAGGCCTGAGCCCAGGGTGATGATTACAAATGAGATTTTGTGCATTGGCCCTTTAAGAGCACACCTGTGTCTCTACCAGACACTATCTCTCTCCCTGGTGGACAGAATACCCACTGATTTTCACAGCCAGATGTTATGTGGGCACCTCTTCCTGGCTCTGGTTCTTTGGGCTGGGGAGCCTGGCTTGGGGTTGAGACCTCATACTTCTCAGGGGGAACCTTTGCAGCTGAGATAGCCCTCTGGAATCTCAGCTGTTGCCTATGGGAATGGGGCCAGTTTTTTGTGTTTTTTTTTTTCAAGTCTCCACTCCCCAACTTCCCCCCTTTCCCCCCTGGCACACACACCAATCTCGATGTGGCTTCTGTGTATCCTTGATTATGAGACTTCTCTTCAGCTAGTCTATGGTTATTTAGGTTGATTGCTCTTTATTTTAGTTGCAATTCCAGTTTGGTCCTGGAAGAGGTGACTGTAGCTTCCACCTTCTCTGCTGCCATCTTGGATTTCCCTCTTTTTAAGTTTTCCCCAAGTGATTCTACTATCCGGCCATTACTAAAAACCACTGATTATATTAAAACAAGAGTGAAAAGCTTTAAAATAAATACATTTATTCAGGAGAGCATTAAAAATGCTATTCATTGCGTACTTTTTGTCAGATCATTGACAATTAGAATTGACCAGCTAATTAATATCTATATTGTTCACTGCAATTGTTGATTTTTCCTGACCTGTTTTTCTTTTTAGAACAAATTCTGTGTTGAAGGGATCCCTTGCTGATTAATTTGGTACTTAATCTTTCGTAAAGATTTCCATGAGCAGAGACCCCCCTTTTTTTCTGAAAGAATTGAAATCAGACAAGCACTTTAAAACATACCTATTACCAATCCCTTTCTTGAAGAATAATTTGGAGAAGGATCTATGACATCCTATCCCCTATTTTTTAAAGTAGGTGTTAATAACAGTGATAATTATTAGTGTTACTTTTTTTTTCCATATGAGCCATCACTGCACCTATCTATATCCTATATAATAAAGAGCTAATATGCAAATGGTCGTTGCACCCTCGCGCCAGGGCCGGGGGACCTGAGGCCATGTTCCCTGCTTCGGCGCTGGGGCTGGGGGACCTGAGGCTGCACCCCCCGCCCTGCGGGGCTTGATGGAGGTGGGGTTGGCCGGGTCTGGGTCTCGTGTGATTTTGAGGTGCACACGTGTGGGCGGGGACTTGACTCTGGGTCCCACGGCGTGCCCCAGACTCTGACAGGAGGGAGATTTTTGTATACATTTTACTAATTTTCTTTCATCTCTGACACTTCTATTATAGAGAAAGGGCAAATAGCAATATTAAAATATTTCCTCTAATTAATTCCCTTTTAATGTGCACAAATTTCGTGCATTGGGCCACTAGTATATATATAAAAGGATAATATGCAAAATGTCCCCTTGGGAATTCAACTAGGAGACCGGGAGTTCGATCGCTTCTATGACATGTGCTGACCACCAGGGGATGGCACGGAACAAGGGAAGGCCCCGGCTGACAGCCAAGGAAGGAAGGCCTTGATCGCCAGCCAGGCCCAGGGACCCTATCCATGCACAAATTTTGTGCACTGAGCCTCTAGTAGATTATATTTTTTGAGCAGCAGAAACTGAATCCTGTACACATGTGAACAGAGTTCAGTACATTCAGTACTCTTACTCCTTTTTCTGCTATGCATAGTAGACTCAACAAAAGAGCACAATGTCTGGGTTGGATTCTGACAGCCAAATTCTTTTCCTACTCCTTTGCTCAGGACTGTGATTTTCAGTATTCTCTAAAACTTTTTCTTTCCCTCTTCTTTCTCCCAAGAGGTTTTAAAGTCTGCCATTTCCACCTCTTATTTCCTAGTGCAGTGATGGCGAACCTTTTGAGCTCGGCGTGTCAGCATTTTGAAAAACCCTAACTTAACTTTGGTGCCATGTCACATATAGAAATTTTTTGATATTTGCAACCATAGTAAAACAAAGATTTATATTTTTGATATTTATTTTATATATTTAAATGCCATTTAACAAAGAAAAATCAACCAAAAAAATGAGTTCGCGTGTCACCTCTGACACGCGTGTCATAGGTTCGCCATCACTGTCCTAGTGTCTTGGGTATCTGTATGTGTGTGTGTGTGTGTGTGTGTGTATAAAGGCTAAGTGACCTACCATACATATGTCCGACTGGCCAGTACATATGATGCACACTGGCAATTTAAAAATAAATGTTGACTCCTGCATGCATGATACATATAAAGCTCTTGCTGGCACCAATTGCACACATGTGTTCTGATTTGTCATTATTGATCGTGAATTTGGTTGACACTTCTATTATAGAGAAAGGGCGAATAGCAACATTAAAATATTTTTCCTAATTTCCTTTCACTGTGCACAAATACATGCACCGCGCCACTAGTTAGAGTATAAAAGAGAGAAGCCTTTCTGAGCCACGAGTTTGAAGATGGCCTACCAAGCACATTGACTGTTTTCTACTGATGAAGTGGGAAGGATTGAGATGGTTGTTAGTTGATACAAGTAAATGGCATATTCAGAGTTGGTCTTTGGCATCTTGCATGCCTTGTTTCTAGGGCAATAAACTGGTACATTCAGAAAACTGACAACTCCAAAGTAACTTCATACGTTTTTACTGGAATCTCAAATGCCTCTGTTCGTTATGAAGTTAGAGATAAAAAGCCTAAAGCACATGTTGCCTTGAAAAAACAGAACTTTAAAATAATAACATAATAAAATGCATTATTTACTGAAAGCTCATGAGTATTTTTCTAGTGGGAAGCAATTACAAATTCAAGGTTCGTGATAAAAGAAATCTGTAGGGAAATATATGTTTGGAACAAGAGGAAGGTACTACAAGGAAAGTCCAGAGAAGTGGCCCAGTTGGCCTCAGCTGCGTACTGAAAACTACATGGAGTGGTGTACACGTATTTTTATTGCTCTTAATGGCACTCTAACAGTGAGGAATTTGGGCAAATTTTTGTTGCTTTCACAGGACTGTATTCTGACTCCTTCATGAGTCTTTCATGATTTACAAATAGTTAAAAGTGGCAAACAGTATATCTATTGAATATCTTCTTCTTTTTTTACATTTATAGGTGAGTTTACACCTGAGATGCAGGTGAGAATTCGACAAGAAATTGAGAAGGAGAAAAAAGTAGAGCCATGGAAGGAGCAATTCTTTGAAAGCTACTATGGTCAGAGGTAATATCAAAATAGATTCTGTCATGTGGTGCTTCATCTTATTACCTTCCCAGAAAATCTAGTCCTTAATTTCCTTCTATATTTTCACAATTCTTTACTGAGAAAATTTTTTCTCTTTACAATTCTCAAGGACACAGAGTTGGTTATGGATGGGATGGTTTCTTTAAAAAAAAAAAAAGATTTTAATGATCTTGAATTAAAGTCTCTTTCTTTAAGTAGATTGGCTTTTCTTCCAGTATCTTTATAAAATATAAAAATACTGAAGTTCTGTATATTTCATACAGTAATTTTAATTCCACAATATGAATCACTAAGGAATTCTAGGGATCCTGTCACAAGGTCTGTTATATCCAATGTTTAATTAAACGGCCTCTCCTCTGTAGAAGGCACTCTGAAACAAGATATAAATCCTGTTCTCAAGAAGCTGTAGTCTAAATCAGTTTTTTTCTAACAAAAAATCCAAATGAAGTCTTAATGGAGGACATTGAAATAGGAGACAGTGGAGCTGTGTTGTTTGAAATAGGATTGAACACCCAGTCTTATTTGTTTGTTAGTCTCCCTTTCTTTTGCATAACTAATGGGAATCCTTAAGGAGACTCCATAACCACAGCTTGAGAACTATTGGCTCTCTTCCCTTTCTCTAAGTGATGTTCATTGACATCTTCATGGTCATTTAGGAAATGATTCCTGTTTGGATTAAGAGTCTCATATACTGATTTTTCTATATTCTTGGTATGAGTTTTGAGTTCTATAGAAATTACAGTATGTATACATTTAGACCATTATTACAGATACCAGGTATTCCAAAATATTGTTCATTCTCTCCTCAGGGAGATAGAGCATTACAGCAGTTCTTGGATCCTTCGGTATTTAGCTCTTTTTGCCAACTTTTATAGAAGGGCTGTTTTTTATTACTGTCCAATTTTGTAATTAGCCATTTCATCTCAGAAGTGCAGTACTGATTACTTGAAGTCACCAAAGAGGGTTGCCTTGTTTTTGCCTGTTAAGGATTATTCTAGAATATATAGGCCAGAAACTGAACCTATAGGCTGGGAATGGAATCCAGGTCTCCCAAATGGGAGGCAAGAATTCTACCACTGAACCACCAGTGCTTCCCATTAAACAATATTCTCAAACATTAGAAGGAGTCCCTATGACCCCTACAGAGTAGCCTAGTTCTTAGCCAGGCCACACTACGGTAGTCCCAATTGTCCTTCACTCCCAGGATAACTCAGAGGCACTGGATTACAGAGCTATATCAAGTAAATTAAATAGGCTTTCCAAAAACTCAGAGTTGTAATTCTCATCCTCTGGAGAACATTGACAGCCAACTCTCCTATTATCTCCTCAGGGTCTCTTAGGTTTTAGGGACTAGTCTTTCTACAGATACTGCAGAGCACAGTTGATCCAGTCTAAACCCACAATCTCAGGGTGTGTCGATCTTGGCCTTCTTTCACTTCCCTCGAGGATAGTCTGTGATGCATGTCTCTAGACAGTGTGGCCCCTTTATAACAGGAAGTAATAATAATAATGAACATTATTGAACTTCTATTATGGGCTAGGTACTAATCTTAAGTATTTTACATGCATTAACTTAGTTAATGATTATAGCAATGCTATCAAATGATTAACCTCAGTGCACAGTTGAAGAAACTGAGGTAGAGAAGTCTAGTCACTTACTTAATATAACATGGCTAGTCAGTATCAGAGCTAAGATTTGAATCCAGGCACTCTGGCTCCAGAACCTTCAATAATAATAATAATAATAATAATAATACTGATGATGTGAATTTATATTAGTTCACACAAACACTCCATCCATGCTTTTGTTCCGGCCCTCCGGTCCAGTTTAAGAACCCATTGTCGCCCTCGAGTCAAAAAGTTTGCCCACCCCTGGTCTAGTCACTTACTTAATGTAACATGGCTAGTCAGTATCAGAGCTAAGATTTGAATCCAGGTACTCTGGCTCCAGAACCTTCAATAATAATAATAGTAATAATACTGATGATGATGATGATGAAGATATTATAAGAAGGATACATATTATGCATCAGGTTCTTCTAGGCATTGCCATATACCATTATCTCATAATGTTTTCAATAACATGGGCCATTTCTCAACTAGAATATTTCTTCCACCTTTTAGTTCTGGCCTGAGCCTAGAGGATTCAAAGAAATTGACAGCTTCACCCAGTGATCCCAAAGTAAAGAGACCCTCAGCTGAGCAACCAAAATCCATGCTTCCTTCAGAGGCCTCTCCTGTCAGTATAATCCCTGTAATTCCCCAGGTAGAATCTAAAGAAGAAGTAGTGCATATGCCATCACCAGTCAGAAAAGAAGAGCACGAAAGCCAAGATAAGGTGCAGCCAAACCCTGAGTCCACAGAGCCCCTTCTTTCCTCTCCCAGCGATACAAATGAGCTTAGCAGCATTCTTCCCATCAAGTGCCCAAAGGATGAAGATGTCTCGGGGCAGAAGCCAGTTGCCTCTGCTGAACAGGAATCTGAGAAAGAGAATCATCTCACTACAGCGTCTAATTATAACAAAAATGAAAGCCAAGAAGCTTTAGTTAAGTCTCCAAGCAAACCCAAGAGTCCTGGAGTAGAGAAACCAGTAATGAAGCCCATAATAGAAGCAGGTCCACAGGAGGCCACTATGAAAGAGCCTTCATCAACTCTGGTCGATCACAGCCCAGAAAGCCTCAAGAGGAAATCTCTCACCCAAGAAGAGGCCCCTACAAGCTGGGAGAAAAGGCCGCGTGTCACTGAGAATCGCCAGCACCAGCAGCCATTTCAAGTCTCTCCACAGCCCTTTCTTAATAGAGGGGACAGGATCCAAGTGCGAAAAGTACCACCTCTCAAGGTAAGAGAATTTACCGAAATGGAAGAGAGAGGTGGCCTGAACACTAAGTTTTTGGTCATGCCTACCAAATTTGAAGTAATTAGTGGTATTTTTTAATGCTGAAGCAATTATATATATTCATATAAGAACTGTGGTCTTATATATATAAAATTGTCAATAAACAGCTATTTAGACTACATTCCTACAGATCTTTATTGTTTGACTAAGTAAGGTACCTGGATATCTGATGGCTACTTTTGTATCTTAAGACAGTTATGGAAATTATTGTCTCATGTAGCAAAATCCTATATAATAAAAGCCTAATATGCTAAGTGTCCGGTCGACTGGTTGGCCATTCAACCAATCAAAGCATGATATGCTAAGGCTGCTCAATCACTTGTTATGACATGCAGGGGCAGACAGTCGACCGGTCGACCAGTCGCTATGATGTGCACTGACCACCAGGGGACAGATGCTCTGACCAGTAGGTTAGCTTGCTGCTGGGGTCTAGCCAATCGGGACTGAGCGAGACTGGCCAGACATGTCCTGTAGCCCTCCCACGGTCCCTCCCCGGCTGGCCAACCTCCTGTGTCTCCCTGGCCCTGATCGTGCACTGGTCAGTGGGGTCCCTTGGCCTGGCCTGTGCCCTCTCGTAATCCAGGACCCCTCAGGGGACATCAGAGAGCCGGTTTCGGCCCGATCCCGCAGGCCAGGCCGAGGGACCCCACTGGTGCACGAATTTGTGCACCGGGCCTGTAGTAAGAAGTATAATGATAAACATGAGGCCATTGTTGTGATCCAAAGATCATATATTTGTACCAAAAACCATGATATTTAAGTGTACCCTGGCCTTTTTCTTACTACTATAACTAATGTGATGTGTAGTTCTAGAGCTACCTTTAGTCCATCCTTTTTTTTTTTTAAATATATTTTTGTTGATTTCAGAGAGGAAGGGAGAGAGAGATGGAAACATCAATGATGAGAGAGTATCATTAATCGCTGCCTCCTGCACATCCTCCCCTACTGGGAATTGAGCCCACAACCTAGGCATGTGCTGATTGGGAATTGAACTGTGACCTCCTGGTTCATATGTTTGCTCTCAACCACTGAACCACTCTGGCTGGGCTAGTCCATCCTTTTAAAGGAAATGTGTGGCTACCATGAGTTACCACTGGTTACTTGAAGGACATTGGTAAGATGGCATAGTCTTGCTAAGCTCTACTGTTAGGATATGTCATTAATTTCTATTTTAACCTTATATTTCTATTTGTCAAATCTTTCAAATTCCTATAGCAGTGTCTCTCTCAGTATATAAAGACTGCATCTAATCAGCAGTGTACTTTTGAAAACCCAAATACATTTTTACTTTTGATTTAAAGGTTTATTACTTCTCGGGTTTGTGCTTAATATCAGTTTGCAGTCCTTTCACTTATTTAATTAATACATAATATTTATTAATATGTTTTTATTAATAGTATTTATTAAAACCATTGTGTCTACTGTGAGCCCAGGCACTGGGTATTCATTCACTGTAGGATATAAGTAGAAAAATAAGCCATATAGAAATACTGCTTCCCTCTCCCTCCTTTTATTTAACTTAGGTGAATCAAAGTTAGTTCTGTCAGGAAATATCCTATGGAAACATTCATTTACTAGTACTTGACCCATTTCACGTACCACATGACTTCTGTTTCTCATTTTGCCTCATTACTAAAAGTATGATGTTCCTCATTACTTTTTATTTTTACCACTTATGGTTTCATTTCTTAGGAATCTTTACTTATTTTTGACAATTTTCTACCACTAACATTCTGTCATGCTTTGCCAGATATTCTGATTTATACGATAATTATTTTTACTATTCTTATAAAGATAGTAGAAACTTTTTAAAAAAATATATCTTTATTGATTTCAGAGAAGAAGGGAGAGGGAAAGAGAGAAACATCAGTGATGAGAGAGAATCATTGATTGGCTGCCTGCTGCATGCCCCCTACTGGGGATTGAGCCCGCAACCCCGGCATGTGCCCTTGACCAGAATCAAACCTGGGACCCTTCAGTCCGCAGGCTGACGCTCTATCTACTGAGCCAAACCAGCTAGGGCTAGAAACCTTTTTTTAATGAATGCTAATCAGAACTAATCTTCAGACCTGAGAGCTGAGTTATGTGTAGATTTTACTTTATATCAATGACACATGGTGAGATCTATCCTTTCTATTTCCTAATCTGTAAAGAGGCTGAATTACATCATAGTTTACTAATCCAAAGAGGCTCAATGCTGAAAACTTAAATCCATTGTCACCAAGCTAATACTATTTAACTTTTTTCCTTCTACTTTCTTCTCCTTCTTCATCCCCCCCAAAAAGAATTTGTACCAGAAGTTGCTTTAGTAACTATAATTTTACCTTAGACTCTATTTCAAATCCCGCTTTCTTAGACAAAGCTTAAAGTCATTTATAACAAAATACATTTTAAACAAAATTTAAATAGAAAAACAAAATTTGAATTTTATTGCAAATGTTACAAATGTATATAAAAATTGTGTTGCTGTCTGCATGATTTGGTCTCTCATCAGAAACTTCCCATCTTTGTCACAGGTGTTGTAGTGTTCATCCTATTCTAAAAATATGTTATTAACGTTTTGTTATTCTTATAAATGAAAACTAAGCTCTGTTGTCCCGTTTCCCCCTCCCCTACTTCTTTCAGATCCCGGTCTCCAGAATCTCCCCCATGCTGTTTCCTACATCGCAGGTCTCTCCCAGGGCTCGTTTTCCAGTCTCCATCACTAGTCCTAACAGAACAGGAGCCAGAACTCTTGCCGACATCAAAGCAAAAGCCCAGCTGGTCAAAGCACAGAGGGCAGCAGCTGCCGCTGCCGCCGCAGCTGCTGCAGCCGCCTCAGTTGGAGGGACCATTCCAGGACCTGGCCCAGGGGGTGGACAAGGCCCAGGAGAGGGTGGTGAAAGGAAAACCGCTAGAGGAGGGAATCCAGACTCAGACAGAGTCAGAGAAACTGGAAAGGGCCCCACACTGGAACTGGCAGGAACTGGAAGCAGGGGAGGTCCGAGAGAGCTTTTACCCTGTGGTTCAGAGACTCAGCCCCAATCTGAGACCAAGACCCCAGGCCAGCCACAGCCTCTTAGTGTCTCTGGAGCACAACTACAGCAAACCTCCTCAGTGCCTCCACCATCTGCCATCAGTGGAGCATGCACAAGTGTCCCATCACTAGCTCACACTGACCCACCCACACCGACTTTAGGGAAATTGAATATTGAGAAACTGAATGCCACCAGGGCAGCAGCCACAGTGGCCTCTCTTAGCCACCCACAAGGGCCCAGTCATTGCAGGCAGGAGAAGTTACCTTCTGCTCCAGCGGGTCCTGCTCTAATCTCAGACGCCACACCTGTTCATTTTGCAGCTGATGGCACAGTTGAGCCCAAAGCAGGTTGTAGTAAGAATACACCAAACACTTCAGCCTCAGCAGAGACAACTGCCAGGGCTTCAGTGGATATGACTTCCTCCCCTTTAACATCTTTATTAATAGCAGCCACTTTAGAAAAGCTTTCCATCCCCCAGGTTAGTGGAACTGTAGCACCTTCCGGACCAGTTCCATCCTCAAGCACTTTGCCAGCAATTTCTAGCCTTAAAACTCCAGGAACTTCTTCAAATATGAATGGACCCATTTCACGGCCAAGCTCAAGTATCCCTGCTAATAATCCTTTGGTCACTCAGCTGCTCCAGGGCAAAGATGTTCCCATGGAGCAAATTCTGCCTAAACCACTCACCAAAGTTGAAATGAAAACTGTTCCTCTGACTGCAAAAGAGGAAATAGGGATGGGAGCACCCACAGGCGCCAACAAAACAGAACATAGCACCAGAGAGGAAGTTCATGAGAGGCCTTCTCATCCAGCTACACAGCAACTGGGTCAAACCTTGCAAAGTAAGCATCTGTCCCAGGTTCCCAGGCCCCTTCAGCTCTTTTCAGGTAAGGATCTGAGGGACTCCAGCATTGACACACACCAAGAAGGACTAAGTAAAGCAACCCAAGATCAGATCCTTCAGACTCTCATCCAGAGGGTTCATATCCAGAGGCATAATGTTCTCTCGTTTGTGCAGCCCTCCCAGTTCACCTTCACTCACTCAGGTTTCCAGGTAGAAGACATCTCCACAAGCCAGCGGTTCATGCTGGGCTTTGCTGGCAGAAGGACTTCGAAGCCTGCAATGGCAGGTCACTACTTACTTAACATTTCCACCTATGGCCGGGGTTCAGAGAGCTTTAGGAGGACCCATTCTGTAAACCCTGAAGATCGTTTTTGTCTAAGTAGTCCCACTGAAGCCTTGAAAATGGGATATACAGACTGTAAAAATGAAACGGGAGATAATAGCAGTGACAAAGAAGATACTGATGAGGAAAGTACTGCTGATGAAGAAGAATCGGCCATGGTGAAGGAGGAGCCCCAGGCTTCCCAGAGTTCTGGCAAGTGTGAAGCAAGTTCAGGACCCCACAGTAGAGAAGCCCTATCCACTGATTGTTTAGCTAAAAAGAATGTGAAGGTAGAGACACCAGTGCAAACCGCTTTAAATAAGGAGAATTATCTGTTCACTAGAGGCCAAACATTTGATGAAAAGACCCTAGCCAGAGATCTTATTCAGGCAGCGCAGCAGCAGATGGCTCATGCAGTGAGAGGGAAGGCAATGCATAGCAGCCCTGAGGTTTTCACTGCCACTGCTCTTCCTCCACCTGCAGACAGTCCCACTCATCAGCCTCTCCTCCTTCCACCACTGCAAACCCCAAAGCTGTATGGGAGCCCCACACAGATTGGGCCCAGCTACAGAGGCATGATCAATGTCTCCACCTCGTCTGACATGGACCATAACTCTGCTGTACCGGGGATGCCTGACTGTGGCCAGGTATCTAGCAATGTAGGTGATGTCATGTCCTTTTCAGTGACTGTCACTACCATCCCTGCTAGCCAAGCCATGAATCCCAGCAGCCATGGCCAGACCATTCCTGTTCAGGCATTTCCTGAAGACAACAGCATAGAGGACACGCCTTCGAAATGTTACTGCCGATTGAAAGCCATGATCATGTGCAAGGGGTGTGGAGCCTTCTGCCATGATGACTGCATTGGCCCCTCCAAACTGTGTGTCTCCTGCCTTGTTGTTCGGTAACAAGACTAGAAAGAACACACTGTAAAGGAGGCAGAAGGGAAGGGTTGGCAGGCTGTGTTTTTGCGTCCTTTTGGAATCACAGAAATAAACAAGTAGATTTCAGTTGTCAAGAGACAAATGTTACTTAATCAGGTATACAGAGTACAGATCTTACATTTTAGAGGAAGAGCACCTTGATAGTAAGTCTAAGTCAACAAGACTTTGTGAATTTGTGACAAGTTTGCACTTACAAAATCATGTAAATATGTCACATTTTGTTTTAACATTACTTTTCCAAGTGTTTAGGTAATAATGTATTACTTTTCATTCAAATTTATGGTCTACTTCATGTGACTCTAAGTTTAATGCCATGCATGGTGAAAGGAAGCTTGTCTGCCTTCTGTCCTTTCCTAAGAGGCTGGGAAGAGGAAGGAGTGAACAAAATGGTCTGGAGAAATGATGTTTCATGCTGATTATGTCTTAACCATCTGCCTATAGGTTTTATGTGGATTATTCAGCCTTTCCAGAATATGGATTCAGGGTTTACTAAGTCCCTTTACTTTAGATGGAATCTTAAGTTCAAATTTTTGATAAGGTATTCATTTCACAGCTAGTGCTTCAGACTCTGAAAACTCTTGACTTGGTTCTTGGCTTCCATAAGCCAATACTATTGCCAAGCACACTGTGTGCAATTTGTGGGTCCCTGCTGTTCCCTAATCCCATTCCCCTGCCCTGAGATAGTGAAGGTGGTCCAGGAAGAGTGTGCCTCTCTGGCCCCTGGTGTTACCATAGCCTGGGCAGGGCAACAGTTCCAGCAATAGCCCAAGTACTTAGTCATGGGAGCTTGCAACAGGTTTGAAATACTAGTATAAAATGAACAGGAAAGTGTTAGTGCTGGGCTAATTTGAATTATGTGTTTTGTTGGGCAAGGGGAGTAAAGGTGGAGAAACAACAAAGATATTTGGGAAAGATTTTTAACATTAGAAACAAGGTAGCCTCTTTCTTTTCTTCCAACACATTACCTAATGTTCCGTAGTCAGCTGTTGCTGCGGGTAGAACAGCTCATGAGTGCCACATTTGCCCATTCTGGTAAACCTATTTTGACCTCCCAGGCATCTGAGGAGTATGGAGTAATATGTTACTTTGAAGACATGTATGCACTCACACATACAATAAAAGTCAGACACTTTTCCTGTTTTAGAAAATATGTCCCCTGTTTTGGATTTCTGCTGTCTATGCACTAGAAGTTTTTAATGTGAAGGGGCTTCAGTAAATGGCTAGGGGAACATCTAGAAAGGAGAGAAATTACCTCTAAAGCTTTGTTGTTTGTTTTTATTCTTTTTTGTGTGTCCTTGTTGTGTTTTTAAGCCTGTATTTAGCAACTAAAGAATTTTCAAGTACATATATTTAGGTCATGGTTAAAGAACATTAAAATAAGCCGACCATTTACCAGGATTTGATATTTTAAAATGGGGTATTGTCGACGTGCATCATTTGCATATTGATTTCAAGTTTTCTAATTCCAAGTGTGTAAAGTAAAAATACTATAACTAGTACAGTTGTAGTTGTACTTAATATTCAGGATGTGGTATTTATAACATGCAGAACAGTGTATACTTGTTAATTAAGTCACATTCCAGATTAGGAGAAAGTAGCAGTAATAATCTTTGCTTTGCTTCCATTCTGCTACCCATTCTTCCCCTCCCTCCATGTTATACACTCTTAATATTTTCAAACTCCCTAAGAGACTCATTACTTCACTTTTTTGCTTCTGTTTTTTGTGTGGTCCAAGGCAAATAGAGGACTAATATCTATGTTCTTGTTGCAGCCAAGACAGTATGTCATTCTAACTTTCCTTTTTCTTCCAGCACACATATAGCTAAGAGACATGAAAGCTGCAAGGATCCAGGGATAAGGTTTAAGTTCTCCAGCTAAGAACCAGCAACAAACAGAAACCGTGGTTCTGTTCCCAAACTCTCAGTACCCTGGGAAATTCAGGGGGAACTTGAAAAGACCTAAAGCTGGTTAGAACTTCCATTGCCCAGCTTCTGCACTCCCCACTTGAGTGGCAGACTGAAGGTTGGTCTGCGTGCTGGAAGTTGCTGAGAGTTTAGAACTGACCAATTAGTTAACAATTGGGGTTGATTAATGTGGCTTTTCTTCTTCGAAACTTTCCTGAAATAGAAAATATCTGCTCTGTGTTTTCTTTAAGCTGAGGATGGATAGACTAACCAGGAAAGGAGGAAAGGATCAGGGATTTTCAAGTTCATTTAGAGAGCAAACCATATCGTGCCTCTTCATCTTGACCCACGCTCTTGCAGATGGTCCTAAAATTTACTGTTCACAAGATTTTCTTCAGAAGTAATACAGTACTCAACTAATAAAATACCTGCACTTATTACTGCCCCTAAAACAGAAATTGTCAACTAGGTACACTGCCTCAATATTGACCAAAAGAGAGAATAGTTAGGTTTTCTTAGATTGGTAGTAAACTGAATACAACCCATATATCAGTTTGTTTGAAAACAGTGGTTTCAAGTTGAAAGCCATGAACTGAATAAAGGAGAAAATTATGATCTTGAAAACAAGGCAGAAGGAACAAGAAAATCATTAAATTATTGAAGTGTGGCATGGCACTCCAGTACCTTTAAAGCAATTTTTATTTTAGGTTTTCAGAATTACTTTACCATTCAATTCAACTTAGTAAGTGCTAAGCTTATTTGTCTGATATTAAGTTGCACTGTTTCGAGTGACTAGTCAGGCATTATGCCTGATGCTTATTATGCCTCCAGGGTGTGCTTCCGATACCTCCCACTGCAGGTCACCTTGGGGAGCAAGCACTGACAGGTTGTCATCTCAGTCTCGCTTATGAATATTGAGTCATCTAGTAAAGAGGCTCCCGGAGTCTTAAAGAATTTTGACTAAAATTCTCTATCCTATTAAATAGAGAATAAAGCCAAATAACCTGGCATTGTTTGCTCTGCTTTTATTCCTTAACTCCTATGCTCAAGATACTAAAGCTATCTGTGGTATCCCATGTAACATTTTAAAGAATCAGACCTGACAAATGTGTATTTTTACTCGGGGTAGGAGAAGCATACTTGCATGGGCTGGGAAGGCACACAGATGGAGTTGTTTTAGGAAGTTATCTCATTTAAATAAGCCAAAGGAAGACCTCATTGCCTTCCAGGTGAAGGAGTAAATCATACATATTAATGACCTGATAGTCATCATCCTAATTGCTTATTATTGCCATTCTCTGCCTTAGAGTCCTTTACAAAACTCTTGGGTGAAATGATTTGTTGTAATTAGGGGGTCTTCTCTGGTCATTACACTGCTATTTATTTCTAGAACTCACTGTCAGTGAGCAGTGCGAGGATTGTTCTCTGTAACCTAGAGGTTCGATTTCACGACAAGGAGGGAGTCTCCCCATTGCATTACAGCAATGTGCTGAGTAAAAACTTGGCCGAGAGTAGTTTTCAGCTCAATTTATAGACAAGTCCAAAGAGACTGAGAAACACGATGATGGGCAGAGATCTTTCCTACCATGTTTCAATACCTACATACCTATTGAAAGAAAACAATAGGTAAAAACATTTCCTAAAGTTGAAGAGCCGCATAGATTATTGGTTACTTTATTTTTATTAATGCTTTACATTTGATACAACTATTAAAGATCAATTTTAAAAATAGCTTTCCAATAATATATTTTAAGTAATATATATTTTAATATCTATGTAAAAAATAACAGTGGAAGACTGAATTTCTCATATATGGGATGTGTAATGTAGGACCTCACTGTTAAGGCACAATTTCAAAGGAAGTTATTCTAAAGACATTCAGATTATTTCCAAAAAAAAATGCAATAAGGGGGTTGGAATTTATTTTTTATTTGAAAGGAAAATTGACTTATTTACCACAAGCTATTTTTTTTTTCCTTTTGGCTATAAGGTTTGTATAGACTGGTTTGGTAAAAGCTAAACTTTTGTGTCTTTTTGCCTTTTTAAAGGAATTGTTAACATTGGAATTGAGGGTATGTACAGAAAAGTTGGTGTCAACACCATTTAAAAAGTCATATTTTTTCACAAATATAGAAAAATCATTTTACATAAGAACTTTAAGTATTTGCAATAAATATATGTATATAGATTGTGTGTATTCGTATATTCTTATTTTTCATTTTATTAACTAAAAGATAATTAAAGGGAAAATAAAGACTGGAGTCTTTGGTGAATCTCGAGTTCTGACATGTATCTGAGTGATGTGGGCAAGGGCCCTCAGTTGCCTTATATTACTATTGGGAGAGTTCAGAACTGTAGTAAAAACGTTAAATTCTCTCCATCTGTCCGTCTATTTTCACCCTTAAACTGTTCTGTCTCCTGACCACCTCATGCCAGTAGGAAAGTAAAACAAAAACAATAAAACCCTAGTGCATTCTTTTTTAAAAAAACACAAATATGCTCATTGTTTGCTTCTAAAACAAATGGTAAGAAAATATCTCTGGGGAAAATAGGTTTTCCTTTCTCCACACTGGTTAATAATTCATTAACAAACATTCACTGCCAACACCTTCCAGGCCTAGGGGTGTGTGAAGAAATAATCTCATGAAGATAATAGAACACTTACTGTTTCCCATTTTTTTCTCTGAGAAATGAGTTTCATAGCCAGTTTTATATCCCTGTTGATCTGGAGAGGTAGAAGAGCTAGGTGAACGTGGATTTTGATCTTCCTAGTGTCAGGAAGGGCATTTGTGAAAATGACTGAGCCCACATGTTAGAAGACATTAATTGTTCATAGTCCCATACTTCAAGATAATCTGGAATCCTGATGTGCAAGAGTTGTGGTTATAAATACTTAGTTTTAGGATATGCTTGAGGAAACCAAGTGATAACTAGATAGTCTTTGGAAGTAAAGGTATGTGGTATGTAGCCCATTCTTTTTAAATGAATAATATATAGATTTATTTGATAACATGAAAGAAAATAAGGTCAGAATTTCAAGAATGTATCTTAATGACCCATGAAATTGACTTTATTGTGTAGTTCACTAGTTCACCCCAAATTTGCTCATCTGTGGTTATTTTCACTGATAATAGCATATTTTGGAAATTAATAAGGATACATAGAATGCTTTTTAAAAGACAGCCTTTCTATTTTTTCAAAAATTGAAATTTCATATATTGGGGTTGACTGATGCTAGTTTAACTGTCCAAAAAAACAGAACTCTAAATCTTTACTGAAAATACACCATTTCTAAAGAAAATTTCTTAAGTCTCAGGGAACATCTGCATCTCCATAATTCCCACATATGATAGGAAAGAAGATGAGATATTTAAATGTGTGTGAACCAGTCCATGATGACCATTTACAAAGACATCTCCCCCACCTCATTTCTAGTACATATTTATCATTATTTAAAAGGGCCTCCTACCTCACTGGAAGTAAAACTTGTATTCAGGTAATGACATAGGAGCCTAAAGGTATATTTGGTCTGCGGTTGAGTGAGAAAGAGCAATATACCAGGACACAGCTTCAACTTGAATCCTCAACTTTATTGACATCACAGTCTTAGAAACCTGTGTTCATTGCTTTTGACACTACTTGACTACAAATGGTCAGAAATCAGATTTTGCATACTGTTTCCAGCTATTTGTGTACAAATGTTCGTTGCTAACTCAGATATTTATTGAACCCCTACATGTACTAAGCACTGCGGAAGTTCTGGTTATGCACAGGTAAACAAGCAGCAAACAAAATTGTGAAAGATCTTGCTAATGTAGTAACCATACAGCATATGTCTAGTGCAGGGCTCACGGAGTAATATATGCTATGTATTTCCCAAGACATGGAAGTTTAATTGTAAATGAATTACGAAATAGAAGTATTTGAGACACTGGGCAAAACAGTGGCAAACCATGAAGGAAAGAGGCATCGACCTAGATGAGACAATGTGGAAGTCAGGAGCCATGTTAATTTACCTTTTTTTGTTTTTGTTTTTGAGAACTTTCATTGGAAGATTTAGAATTGATAGAAATTTTAAGAAATCTCTTAGTAATATCTAAATTGATGAAATAATCAGGCCAAAAGCAATTCCTTTCAATTAATTCTGTCAGTATATCAGTAAAGATGCTTTAGCTTGTGTTTAATGAAACCTTCCGAATAACAAGTGGGTAAATAACCCAAAAGAAGCTAAAGGGAATAAAAAAAATCATACCTTGATCTTCATCTGGTAGCCTGGTGAGAAGGCAGTGTATCTCTGAAGACATGTTGCACCCCTTTTTTTTTCCTCAATAGATATAGTGTTCTTTTTTATTCTAATATTGTAGAATCGGCTTTCCCCCCTTCTATAAGTTACAAAACTTGAATTAAAAGAGGCTTCAGCAGAACCCTTGCCCTTTTTAGTGGCCAAAATCCTAATTTAAGGTTTTCTGGTAGGAGGCTTCAAAAGGATGCCATTGTATCTTATCAGTGCTTCTGGATTTTCCTTAACCTTTTGTCTTTAACCTGTGTTACTGGATGGGCAGCTTGAATCCTGTATGCCAAAAACATCCATATTTACCCTTAGTCAAAGAGGTATTCGGTGTATTCCACGATGTAAGGTATGTAGTCTCATCTCTGTCCAGGAAGTAGGAGGGTGGATATCCTGTATTTTCCTAGTACTTGGTGACCTTAAACTGAAGATTGGGCTTCTTTCATAGAGACTATAAAACTAAGGAATCTCTATACCTCCATGTAGCTTTCAGTTTCAACCTAAAAAGGGAGTCTCCTAGAAAGATTTCCTTTTAACAGGAAGGACAGACACTGAAGAGAGCCAGAGAGGATCAGCTGTGGAGAGGGGCTGTGAGTAGATAGTGGGCTCTCCCGTAGAGTAACTTTAAACTCAAGTTTTTTGGTTCTTCGAACTCAAAAGGAGTTTTAGGATATTTAAAAACATCTGATTTTCATCTTGACTGCAAGCCTTGAGGATGCCTAGAGAAGAAGAAAGGTAAACCCAAGATTGGATTTAAGCTAGATTTAAGTAAGCTTTAAATTATTATTGTTGGTTTAAAGTTTGGGGCTCTGATAAGATAATGAATTGCCAGGAGTGGAACATGGAATTTGGAGGCATTTTGTGGATTTTCAATTGAATTGTGGTGGCAGCTTTAAGCCTCTGATCACGATTTAGGGTTGTGCACCTGTATCTGTTAACTGATCCAGACATTGGCTCATAAGTAGTATTAAACCAACTTCTGTCAACACAATTTTATTAATTTTAATCATGGGCCCTCTATTTAAATATTTAAAATTCAGATCCGCCAAATGAGAAAACAATGCATTAAATGTTATCAACATATATGAAGATACTTTAGAACTATTATTTCACACCCAGCCTATGCTCTTCCTAGGGAAATTGTGGTTCATAAAATTTTATGTTTCTTGGATCAGTTTTCTTCTTTTTTCAAAAACCAGAGTCTAATGTTTTCAGAGACCTAGAGCTTAGGAATGATGAAGTTGGACTTTGACCCCGAGTCATCAATTTTTTTTCACTTTAAGTTTTTAGGCAGTGGCAATTTGAAGACTTTAGTAGTGACCTTAGCTAAACCTTCATGTAATCACTATACCTGCTTTAAATTAATGGAATTCTTCCTGAGTCTCAAATTTGGTTTTCCTTTTGTTGCATAAGGAGATGGATTCTGAGCTGGGAAGAACCTGGTCATTTGATCTCTGTAATAAACTACTGTTGGAAGGGCAACTTTGTTCTTAGAGATTTCACAAAATGGAGTCCATGAAAGATCTAGAGTACATGACAAATGACTCTAGAACTTAACACCTTTTTTCTTAGCCATAAGTGCTATGATCTATTCTTTAAAAACCCATCTTAATTCTGTTATTCACTATATCACACCTGAAGACTTTCACCAGCACCAAGAGAAGTTAGAATGGAAGAAATGACCTTAAGTTAGTCTTGTTCACTTTAAAATCTTGGTGCACAGAGGCCTTAGCACTTTGACACATAAAACTGCCTTTTAGCTCCTCACTGTCATCTTTATTCCTCTCATTTTTAGACTTCCTTTCATTGGTTGTATAAACTACCTTCTTCAGAATTGAATGTATAATAATATTTCTGCACATGGATGAACTGTATTTTATCTTAATGACTCATTTATGTTGAATAAAGGCATACAGTTTTACTCTAGATTGTGCCTTTTCTTTTCCAAAGAAACCAGACATCATGCTGAATGACTTACCTGCTTGTTGCACCTTCCCTGTGCCCGGTGGCACAATTGTCCCTGTGTTCTGGCTAAATTTGGATGCCACAGAAAGTGCTTGTCTCTTCAGGCAACACTTGAGGATTAAAAGAACACAAGCCAGAAAAAGTGTGTGTGTATTTAAAAAATAAAAAGCAAGTCTCTACTGCAAAGCTACAGTGGTAATAGCATAAATACAGATACACAGACCAATGGAATAGAAGCTGCAAAACTACAGAAATCAAAACAGTGTGGTGATAGCATAAATACAGATACACAGACCAATGGAATAGAATAGAGAGCCCAGAAATAAACCCTCACATATATGGTCAAATGATTTTTGACAAGGGTGCCAAGACTGGTCAATGAAGACAGCACAGTCTTTTTTTTTTTTTTTAATATATTTTATTGATTTTGACAGCACAGTCTTTTTTTTTTTTTAATAAATTTTATTGATTTTTTACAGAGAGGAAGGGAGAGAGATAGTTAGAAACATCGATGAGAGAGAAACATCGATCAGCTGCCTCCTGCACATCTACTGGGGATGTGCCTGCAACCCAGGTACATGCCCTTGACCGGAATCGAACCTAGGACCTTTCAGTCCGCA